CCCCCCCACACCTTTCCAAGTGAAAGTTATTTTCAGTGTACTGTATCCTTAGGATCCATTCATTAAAAAGACATTGAAATCATTCATTCAAGTCTTACTCCGTTATGTACAGCATGTATATTTTTGCGACACATATTTGAGAGGGAGGAAGAGGAAGAGAGGCGGTCTTGAGTGACTCAGCATCTTTGTATCACTCAAGGCTCACATTTACTGAGTAGTACGGTCAGTGAATGAATCAATGCACCGTTCTCTCACAGATTTGATCAGACACACGTTCTTCACCCACACGTTTTCTTTCATATTGCAGGTTTCACCACTCATTGTAAACTACAAGCAGCAACACAAAGACGCTCCAGCGAGTGTATCCCTGTAGGTTTCCTATTTTCAAAACAGTAACATTGTATGTGTGTGTTTGTGTGTGTGTGCGCAGATGGCAAAGCTGCTATAATAATGTCCTTCCCTATTATGCGAAGCACGTGTGTTTTTTGCAACACTTAATTATCAAAGAAATTAATTGGTATTACTTTCTACTTCGAGACTTCAAGACATGAGAAGGAGGGCTTGAGCAACTGTGTATCACTCAGGACTCATAACACGTGCACTGTGTGTAGTACGTTCAGTAAGTGAGTGTGGATCTGAGTGAGTGTATCCCTGCAAGTTTGCTTTCAACTGAACTGACTGAGAATGGATCGTTCCAGGAAGTGATTAAGTCCAGTTCCTTCGCTTGAAAGATTTGTTCTTTCGAGTGTGGCCACTTTTCTTGTCACTTTTGCTTTTGACAAGGTTGGAAAACAAGTACAAACTAGTAATGAGAACGTTACATCCTAATGCTGCTGCTTCACATTTAAAGTGTTCATCTGGTGAAACCCAGGGCATATTGTATTGTGAAGCAGCCACAGGAGACAGCGTATTTGTCACTGCAGTTAGTGCTGTTTTGATCATTCATAAAAAACATCTATCTACAAAACAAGACGATAATTTTTGACATTTTCTTAAAGTTTAAAAAATTGCAGGGAGTAATGGAACAAGAAGGAGCAGCAACAGATGAAGAGCTACAGGCAACAGGCTGTGACCTGCGGTTGTATGGAAAGCTACTCGTGCAGTGTGAAGCATGAAATCAGACTACTTTATTAAAACAATGTGAGTTAGTTTGGTTGTGCTGTAAACGGACGCACAATTTGCTCTTCTTTTGTATTTCTGACGAAGTAGAGGCTCAAGGAGTGTTTGCTGGCCTCAGAATAATGGGACTTGTCGTATTAAACCGTATGTGGTGTTACCACGTGAACCATGGGTGCAATTAATCAATCAGGAATGAAATCTTAAGGATTACAACTTTAAGGGAAAAATCATGGGCATGGATGAAGGAAAGATGGCTGTCATCATTTCAACTATGACGTAACGTGAACTGCAGTTTCTGGTGTCACAGTTACACACTTTGTCTTGACCTTGTCCTTATGAGGTTTTTTTTTGTGTCACACTATTTCCACCTTTGCTACTGAAGAAAGAAAAAGTAATTATTGACACAGGTCAAGAGGTTACATGTCGTAAATATAAGTTGTTTGATGTGTTTGAACAAAAGACTATGCTGTCATTTTTCTGGCAAGGACAGTCAGCCTATTTAAGTCTTCTCTGGTGAGCCTTACATACGCCAAGACTTGCTGTCTAACACTGTCGAAGCCAAGAGAAAGAGAGAGGGAGTGAGGGAGAGCAGAGATTGTTTCTGGATATAAACTCAACAAGACGCTTTGATCAGAGTACAGACATTGCAAGACAGGCTTTTAATGAAATAGAATAGGAGGTGAGATCTTGAATGCCACCACTAAAAGAAGAAGTCATCAAAGCAATAAAGTGTACGAGCTGGACAACGTTTTGCCAGGGCTCTAAAAGTTAAAATGTTCTGCCCTTTTATTTCATTAAGACCAATAGAAGGTCACCTGAGTAATGGGATTTGTTTGATAATCAGGACATATCTCTATTAAAAAGGGACACACCAGTCAGAACACTCAATTACAAACGGTGATCAGAGACCAAACTGCAATGGGATGATGCCAGCCGCGACATGTCAACATGCTTATGTACACAGAAGCAGTAGTACACTTTATGACAGTACTCATGGGTCGGACCACACCCAGCTTCGAACCTGACCTTCATTTGATCTCAGCTACACACCTGTTCTTTGTGACTGCACTTTGCACGGTTTTGACGCTACAGTAGGAGTCTCCAGTAACACATTTGCCATGATGACACACACACATACACACAGAATCAGAAGATGAAAACAACCTAGCAACACGGTGTCAGTTTGTAAAAAATGTCATGAATAAAACAAAAAAGCTTTCCATTTGTGGACCAGGGTGGTGCTAGGATGAAGAGGAGGCGAAGGATAGCAAGAACAAAGGAAAAAGTATACAAATAATCTTCAAGACCTTCAATTTTCATCTAAGTGGACATTGAGAAGACCTTTAATGAGTTATTTGTTGAAAAAGTATTTATTTCACAAGCAGTCACATTCTCTCTCTCTCTCTCTCGCTCTCTCTGTTTTTTTCACTGAATCAAGCTCCCAATCATAGTCACTTAAATCTGTAGTCGTGTACACCCTCCTCTCCTAAAAATGGAAACGTTTGTATATTTGCAGACACTACACTACTTTTCTGTCTTTACTACATATCCCCTTTTGCTGAGTCATATTGTTAGCATCTCACATTTACAGAGGGGGTTATTTTTTTTTAAGATAGAAGAAGAAGAAGAAGAAGAAGAAGAAGAAGAAGAAGAAGACTTTTACATTACATGACTATGACTGAGCATCTGTTTGCCTTCTGTAGTTGTTGCTGTGCTGACGTCAGAACAGTGTAAGTTGTGAGTTGTGGGCAGGGCGTGACTTACCCCAGTACAGGTCATGAAATGTGGAGTTTGGATGTTCTGCCTTCACGACCGTTACCACCCCATCAATCCTGCTACACAGCACAGGCAAATCTGACACCATGACTGGACAACAGTCCATTTTCTCAAATATATCTTCCTCTCTAAGACTTTGACAAGGAGGTTACCCCTCCAGCCTGCCACTGGTCCATCTCCCAGCTTGAATTACTGAGAAGAGCTGGGTATGGGGTCCCTTTCATCCTCACCTAGAGACAACAAAAAGCGTTCCTGAAACTTCCATGTTGTCCAGACAAATATTCAAAAGTCTTCAAACCATTTTCCCATTGAAGGACTCCCAGTTTTCTTCTTCGTTTTGAGAGTGAAATAAGACTTGTGTCACTGTCTCTGGCCTTAATGTCCCATTCTGTTTCAGCCTCCAGCAAAGAACTCCAGCATATATTTTACATCTCTGCTTCTCTGCTGCCTCCTCTATCTCAGAATTGGTTGGTTTGTTGTAGTGCCTTCCGAGAGCTCGTTGTTACCGTGTAAGTGTCGGAGGCAGAGACCAACGGCTATAAATACCTTCGTTCTGTCAAAGTGGAAGCCTTGAATAATTCAGTCAAATTCAGACAACAAGAAGCAACTACTCCACAAGCTCTTCAAACACTATGACAGCTCATCACAACATGCCTTTGAGTCAAGGTCAAGACAAACAGAGATGCACTCAGACAAACACAGACAAAAACACACATATTTTAGGAAAGAGAAGGGAAGCAGGAGAGTAGGAGTGTTCAGTACAGGAACAAATGTATCTTCAAGACTGAATCCAGAATCTGAACTAAATGTACTATGTAATCAGCAATGTCACTGATCAAATCAGTGGCTTTATGGATTGCAACTTCCCTCACTAGTGACTGAAAGCATCATTGTTAACTCAGCAGTAAGATACATCTTATTTTAAAGTTTACTAAACTACAATTAACACCCTGCAGTCTTATGCCTTCACCAACTAATCCTGTTGCACTTTACATCCTGTCCAGAGTCATATAATATATGTGGTGATTACTTTGATGGACTTGAATAAGACTGCATAAAGTGTGAAGGGTAAATGGAAGTTATCGCGATATTGATGATACATATATATTATTCCAGTCAATATATATACATGTAGATGATTACTATGTAAATAGCTATACAAAATGTAGTGTTTGGTTTTCTCCTAACATTTTTACTCACTTACAGAATCAAAGTTAGCTAGGTAAGCTGTGTCACAATAACCTTTGACCTTGGAGACAAAAGTGTCACCAATTCAGTGTCTGACCAACTGTAAAATATGGACACAGTCTTTCGTTCCTGAGTTATTGTGTTGAATAACTGCCAAAAAAGGTTTTTCCAGAAAATGTTGTGATATTTACTGCATCAGTTCTTGAGTTATGACCAAAAGTGTTTTTGTCATGGTCATTTTGAGATCACATTAACCTTTAAGTCAATTCATTGTGAAATATGATCGTCAATTCTTAAGGTGTTCCTGAGCCTCTAGCCACGTCATTCGTTGGCACAGAGGCATAAAAACGTTGACACCGTCCCTCCTCTCTCTGCATAACCTCTCCACAGTCCACTAAATAAAGGCCAAAAAAGATAAAGGCAAAAGCAACAGCAAGAATCACATTGCAGATTGGTAGCCATTGGGCTATTCAACTTTAAGCAATGCTTAAAGTGGCATAAAAAAACACCCACACACTCCACCCATAAAAGTATATGATCAATACAACACTGAATTGAGAATTTTGTTCCACTCAGGTTCATGAGATATACATGGGTTTAAGTTACTTCTACCAGTGCATGCTGTGTCCAAAGCTTCTTTCTCTCCAATGCTTATACAGGCACAATATTGAGCTGAATGTAAGAAAACAGTTTCAACAAGCAACAGGTATAATTAACTTAGAATCCATTATGTATGTTATGTATAATCCGTTATGAATGGTGATGTGATCACTTACTGTAGATGTGTATTGATGTGCCTTAGAAAATGACACTTAGCTTAAAAACAAAATAACTAAGTAGTAACTATGAATCTTTTAACTGAACTGAGTAAAAATATCCAAATCAAAATTTGTAATTCCCTCCTTCCAACTGTACAGGAGAGTGGGCAACTGATGCTGAGAAAGAGATGGAGAGAGGGAGAGTGAAACATGAAGGAGGGAAACAGGGGCACCTTGGTGTTAAGGTAGGTGTGTGATTAGTCATTCCCAGTCAGAGCGATGCTTTACAGCTCTGCAAGGTAAGTTGCTCTGTGTGTGCGTGAGTGTGTTTGTGTGTGTATGTGGCCACATTTCTTAGATATGTGACACATCATAACAGTGAAACACAGTGGTTGTCAAGTCATGGCAGTGAAAGAGCTTATGTAAACAAAATGATTCAACCAACTGTGTCTACGGATCACTTGTAGGAACGACAACTACCAGGTGAATATGGTGTGTAAGAGCAGCCATTACACTGTGAAATAGTCTTGACTTTTAGAGAGAAATGCAGAGCCTACCCATGTGTGTATGTGCTTGTTTATTTGTGTGTGTGTGTGTGTGTGTGTGTGTGTGTGTGTGTGTGTGTGTGTGCAGGTGACCTGCTGTCATCCAATGCAGCCCCTGTCAAATGTGATATGTCTCCGCTCCACTGTGAGACCTGCTTCAGCTTTGATTCATTGTTCAAATAGCATTGCCATCTATTATGATTTGATATGGATCTCTCCTCCAGAGGGGGAGAGATGGCTCAACACACTCGACTGACTTCTGATGAAAAGTACAGATAGTGGCCATCACTCTGCTGCAAACAAACAAACACAACACCCACATACACACACACCTGCACACACACTTTGTGTTACCGTAGGTCACTTCATGTGGACTTTTTTACAGGGGTAAATGACAGGACTCCTCTTGAACTTTCAGTCTATAACACTGACTCAGCTAAACGTTAATACCAAAGACATGTCATCTAACCTGTGGTTTATTCTCTCTCTCTCTCTCTCTCTCTCTCTCTCTCTCTCTCTCTCTCTCTCTCTCTCCCTCTCTCTCATAAGATGGATTAGTTGGCTATGCTAATCTATCTGCTGACTCCAAACAGTATGTAGACAAGTGTGTGTGCATAAGCATAGGCATGCACCTGTGAAAAAGTGTTTCTATTTGCATGCACATGCACATACACTACTCCATGGTGTCAGTATTTGCACACTCACTCTGCATTTTACAAGTCGCCGCTAGAGAGTTACCGACTGAACTCACCAACGACATGAGCTTGTACAGACAATTTTATCGCACCATGAGAGAACTTAAATGAGAGTAATTTGTCATTAAAAGGTAAATGCTTTTCTGTTACTTATTTTTATGGGCTTGCTCAGTTTAACCTTTGAGAACACTAAAACTACAGACTGAATAAACCTGAACAATAAGACATTAAATGTTAAACTGCTGCTATAATAAATCACAGCAAAAGATGGACAAGGTTGGACTGGTATTTTTTGGATTTCATCTTAGATTAGACTGTACTGAATTTGAGTAGGCTTCCTTTCATGGTCCAGTGGGTAGTTGAACTGAATGTAATATTCATAGGTATGTTTTGATTAATGCACAATCACCTGTAAATAAAAAAGAAAATGTTTTTGTTACCTTAGAATGAGGCATTTTTATCTACAGAGGGAGCAGGTCCTCTTCTACAGAATCTGCCTTGTTGAACCGCCATGTTTCTACAGTAACAAACCAAACACTGGCTCTAGATAGGACCTTTTCACATTTTGGCGTATTCAGTTGATTGCAATATGCAACTTAACTGAGTCTTTAAATAACATAGGCTATAATTCTAATAATTATATTAAACCTGCAAGATGGATGTTTCCCTCTAAAGTATGCAATTTAAAGCATTAAATTTTGTCTCACTTAACAGGTGTCATTGACCAATTTTCGGTATGAATGAAGTATAAAATAAAGGGAGAAACAATAATTTGAAGCTGGTGTTACGAACATGTCTTCGGTGTGACTGGCCTCGTTAACACAGAAAAACAATCATATTCAGTATGTTAGTGAGACACTTCGTGTGAACGCTGAACACTGCAGCTGTTCATGAATTGCTGATGACATGACAAACTGAAAAAAAAAACAGACGTTAGAAAGGACAGTTACAAAGATGAGACAGGAGCGAAAGAAAGGGGAATGGAACAGAGATAAATGATTGAAGAAGCCAGGGTCCTATCAAGCAGTTAAATGCTGTGTTAGCAGACTGACATATAACTTAAATTTACCCTGTAATGATCAAAACAAATCGCTCACACATGAGGACATGGTATGTATGTATGTATTCATACACTGCATTTGATCTCATACATCTGCATGTGGCATTTAATATTTTTAACATTTAAAAAATAATCTAATTCTACCTGAAAATAAAATAATCACACAATTAAAATACAGCCCTCAGTATCCGTCGTTTAAAGGTGACACTGTTAGGCTCAAATCCATCAGTGTAGTGGCGATACCTTTTCACCTTGCACCTTAGACATTAGTGGGGAAGAACCAAGCTATAAAAAGGACACACAGACTTCCTGTATGATCCCTCACCAATTCATTGCACCATCTCTCTATCCCTTCTTACCTCTCTCTCCCACCCTACCCTCCAACTTGCTCTGCCCATGTCAGTCTCAGCTGCTGCAGCAAAGCTGATGTTTAAGCATTCTAGGGGAGTGCAGACACACTCCAAAACTTCTTAATGGGCAGGCTAAAAATAGCTCAGGCTGGATCTGACTGAGCTGATTCATGCGGCTGTGAGTCATTCAACTGTGCCGCGGTGTGAGGAGAGCAAGGGAATAGAGTGAATGAGCACAAAGAGAAAAGAAAGAAAAGTTTGCACGCTTGTAAAGCTATCAAACCATTAAGAAAATCAAGCATTACTTATCTCATAACAGAGAAGAATGCGTATTATTATGCTGTGAGTATATGTAGGTAGAGATCCTTAAGGACATCCGAGCCTGCAGGGCAAAATATGAAATATTAAGGCTGATACAATGAAAATTGGATAAAAAATTGTAAAAATGTATAGCGGTTTCATTTACCATTTGGTCTGTTTATTTGTCTGTAGCAAGCCAATATCCTATGGCAGGGATAGCAAGATGGAAAGGATGGGGGGGTGGGGTCTTTCAGCTGGAGGGCTGTAAGATTCCAACAGATTGTAGCCAACAGATTAACAGTACTATTGCTGGAAATTACTGGCCCCCGGCAATTTGGTAGCATCATTAGAAAGGGAAGAGCAGTTCATACTCACATCATTATCCCCTCCATTACCACGGGTAAACATCTACTATTAACCTCCACATACAGGCTAGCAGCATGGGTGCTACGTGTGTGTTAAAGGAGTCGGGAAGATTTTAAAATGATGCTGGACTCTCAGTAGTCTGGAGAGTTGTTTTTTTTTTACCTTAAACATTACAATGATTTATAATAACATGCGGATACCACACACCTCCCCAACAAAAACTCATACTAGCCATTTGCCCAGAGCCAGCAGCATTTCAACACTGCATCACTCATTGTACTCTTAATGAATTCAATCAATAGTCTTTGCTTTTCACCCTCATTTTCTCCATCAGTCGCTCATGCAATCATCTTTCCTATTTTTTTTTGTTAACTTTTACACTTCCCCTTTGTCTTTCCTCATTCACTCTGTCCCCGTGAGCACCGGTTGGAGCTGAACTGTTGGCTGCAGTCAGCCCTGGCCATGCTGAGAGAGAGAGAGAGGAGCAGTGGGGTGACAGATAACAGCCAAGAGAGTCAGTGATGGTTTAAACTGTGCCTCTTTCACATGGTCACCTGCTTTCTCTCTCTCTCTCTCTCTCTCTCTCTCTCTCTCTTGCTTGCTAGCTGCCTTTACCCATTCCCTCTCCCAAACTGAAACTGCTTTTTTCATCATCCCATTTTTTTGTCTATCCCAGTCTCCATCATTGCTCTTTAAAACCTGGCAGAGAGGAGAGCAAAGACATGGAGGCAGAGATAGATAAAGAGGGATAGCACTTTCAGAGTCATGACTCATGGGTGATGTACAGTGGCAGAGAGAGCGAGAAAGAGAGCGAGAGCGAGAGAGAGAGAGAGAGAGAGAAGAGAGAGAGAGAGAGAGCGCAGTAGGGTTACTTAATTGTAGACAGTGCTGTTATTCCTGCTTCACTAGGCTGAGACATATTGCCCTAACTGTCAGTGACGCCTCAATGGTTGCCTTCAGATAAACAACTCTGTGTGTTTTAGTGTGTCTCAGTGTGTGTGATACTGTGTCATCCTGTGTTATTCTGCTGTTCTATCCCTGTTGATGAATCCAGGGATGAGGGTGAGATTAGCTTTGAAATGCCTCAGTAGATTCAGAAATTAGCATGTTATTAAATAATATATTAAATATATTGTACTGTATAATATAGTTTAATTTTGATCATTAGACATAATTCTAATTAAATCTACTTTATCTATATGTCTATCCAAGCGTGAGAACTTGAACATTTTAAAATATTTTATTTGTCAACATTTTAAGCAGGTATATATGTTTATTTTGCCGTTCTAGGATACTGTAGAAATATGGCGGACCACGTGGAAGGCAACCGACGGCGTCTGTAGATAAAAATAGCTTAATCTAAGTTAACGAAAACACAATGATTCCTATATTCAGGTGATTATACACTAACATACCTATACATTTTTTATTCCATTTCTGCCAATAGATAAATAAATGTTTAAAAAGATAAATGTTACACACTGGACCTTTAAATGAAATTTTTTTTATTTGATTGGATTGTTAAGACTGTGAAGACAAAAATAGGTCTTTGATAATAAAAAATATGAAGAAGTTTTCTTTTCATTGACAAGATGAGACAGGACAAAAATGTTAGTGGTGGGCAATCAGACTGTCAAAAAATGCATCATATTTTCCCCCAATAAGTAAGAGACCCAACCTGCAAACCACCTTTATTTATTATGGAAGCACAATTGTCAGGACTGGCACTTTTTATGGGGATGATCCTGCTGCTAAAGACTTGAACTGTCTTTCTTTTTCTCTCTCTCTCTTTCTCTTTCTCACACAAGAAAATGTGCAAGTCTAGCCTCGCATCCTGTCTTTTCCAGCCTAGTGTCTGGCTGCAATGTGCAGAAAAGAATAGAGTCCACAGTTCCTGGATTTAACCTATTTTGTCACGCTGCAAGCAGAGACCAGCTGAGCTAACCACTGGTTGCGCTTGTTGCTGACATTCACAGCAACACTCTGTGTGTGTTTGATAGAGAGAGAGAGAGTGACAGCAACAGGGGAAGAGAAGGTGGAAGGTGGACTATTGTACGCAATATTTCTGTAAGTTATTAATAACTTATCAGAGCGCTTTGACCCAAATGCACCCGACCCACGGGTTGTGGGTTGCCCGCACATCAGTAAGTGTTAAGAAAGTTAAATGTTGCTTTACCAAACATGTGATACTGTCACCTTTAGTCCAGTTTCCAGTACCTAGAATACCATTGACAAAAAAAAAACGGACTAACTTTTTGTAAACTAAAACTGAAACTAAACATTTTGAGTTGTCATCTAAGACAACATGTGTGTTAGTAAATCAGAAGTTCGAAGAAAAAAAATTATAAATTAGACCTCAACCACATTCTAAACAAAGGTTTTCCAATTCATCCAACACACAACTCCCTCTCTCTTATAACTGAAAAACAACCGCCAGATTTTGACTTATATTTGCCATATAACAAGAGATAGCGATTAACTCAGGTACCCACTTTGTCTTTAAAAGGTGCTCAGTGTTTCTGATGATGAACTATCAGCCCGTTCATTAACAGAAACAATAAACACATGCTGATGAATAAAAATTAACAGCAAGCATCCCAGTTTAATATCAGAGACGGAAACAACCATACACAGTGTCAGAGAGGAAGGACAAGGGAGGCAGAAGGCACTTTTGATGCAATAGAAATAGGTATCTGAGGGTTCTGAGTTTTTCAGGATTTATGAGTGAGTGGGGCTCAATATCAGGCTCATCTCCCTCCCTCCCTCACTCTGCTCGTTCTTTTTCTCTCTACCTCTCTGAAAGACACGCTCTGCCATCTCCACTTTGCTGTCCTTTAGAGTATGCTCCACCATCCGTCTCCCTCGCTATCTGGCCCTTTCTTTCCCACCTTCCCCTATCTTTTTCTCACAATGCATTTAAATGGGGTATTTAGAGATTCTGGCCTTTTTCATCTCTTTACACCTACTCTGAGGTAACCTCAATCCCCCAACAACCCTTTGAAAAGGGAGAATGCCCCAATTGCTCCAGAAATAGGTCCCAGGAGATGCATGATAAACACGTAAGGAATAGAGAGATATTTATGGCAAACTTGTCCTTTTCCAATAAAAGTACTTGCTGACGTTTTCACACAATGTCCAGATGTTTTCTGTAATGCTGCAGATGTTGTTGCCCCTGAGACCACAGAACATGAAATGTGCCATCTGCTAATCAAATTAAAGTCTAAACAGGGATGTCGACCCATTTTGACTCCCAGTTGAAGGGTTCCATTCAAATCTGTCACAGTAGGCAGGATGGATGGCAGATTCATCATGGTCAGCATATTATGCTATATATATAGTATTTAAAGTGTGTAAAAGTTCTGACCTTTAAACAGCTGACCATTCACAGTTAATTCATTGTTAATACCCTTTCATTAGTGACTGGGCCTGTTTAGTTCTTTTTTTATCCTTGATTGTGTATTTTCTGTGCATACTGCTCCTCTGGTAAAGAGGTTACACCAAAAAGTAATTTACAAAATCTCACAAAATACATTGAACATCACAGATTACTGATACCATGACTAAAAGTGTGGGTGGATTTAAGATTGCCGTTTTGTTTCAAACATCAATTTTGAAAAACATAATACATAAACATGCAATACTCTTTTCCAGTGCAATTTACTGAACTGAGCCTGTCACTTGTAATTATGTGTGTGCTTTCCACACACTGTTTTATGCCACAAGTGTTTAATCACACTCAATTTGAGCATTTTAATTAATGTTAAAACACTGTAATAAGAAATTAGAAAAACATTTAAATTAAAAGTCAAACACTTTTAAACTAGTAGAGTGCACTGAGTAGAGTGCAGATCTCCGCCAGGCAACAGATGGTGTTTTCTTATATACAATAGAAGTTTTTAAGGAAAGTTTTTGTATAGAATTGTTGTGTTTACTATAACTTAGACTCTTCTATGCATGTTTCTACAGTAGCCCAGAATGGACAAACCAAACACTGGGTCTAGATAGTAATCTATTAATAAATAATTTAATTCATTTAAACATCATTATTCATTTAGAACATGTTGTTAACAAAATAATCGATATAGAAATCTACATTCTTGGAGAAAAGCTGAAACTTGGAAGTACCTTAAACCTGCATTTGTTTTACTGGCCCGCGGGAGGTGAATCTACTAAAAGAAGTATGATTGTATTTAACCTAATGACAAAATGACCCGACTTGATTTATTACCTCAGTAAACAGTTTCCTAATGAGTTTATGGTCTCAATTGCTGATTTCAAGTCTTCTTCAATACAGCAAGATGTTCATTTAGTCAATTAAGGTCCCATTTAGAGTAGAATAGACAATAAGCAGGGTATGCTTTAGGGGGTGGCTACCTTGTGAGTGACAACTCATTCTTAGTGAGTCCATCTAGCGCAACGCACAGGTTCACAAAAGTCAGATTAAATTGTAAAACTAGGCAGGGCTGATTAAATCAAATGCATTGCTTATTCTTGCCTAAAATGTTTTCAGAAACATACACATTTTAGTTTACTGTTTCGCTATGATATTATACAAGTTTGTGTCCAGGAAGGTGAAGATAATTAGGAAAATATATGTATGGAATATTTGAATTATGAAATGGTAGTTTGCTGCATTTCTGAAAAATGTCCCTTAATCTTACAATTGATGCTGGCTCTATCTACATGTTTTTAACATACGCTTAACTAGTTGACCTTTTCAATGTACCTGCGTTTTATTAAACATTAGCTCCTAAAAGTTTGTCTATTAGTGGAAAACTCAAGACAATACAGAGTCAGCATGGGTGGCAAATATCAGCTAATGAACAAGGAAAGGCCAATTATTTCTAAGAGAAATTACCAAAAACCTTAAGAGCCTTAAGAGATGGATTACCTTGCTTAGCCTGTTTACACCATAGTTTTTTGTTTTAGTGTACTCTTTCCTTATTTATGTTGTCTAGTTTTAGGGTATTTACAATTAATTAATTTAATTATTACAACAATTAATTAATTACATCACTTGAGGCATAAACATCAATGTTTTGACTACCAGATTGTTTATAATACATTAGCAGATGTTCTGACACCATAGCAAGAGCTGCAGGACTTGCTTTTGTTTTCAGCACCATGGACAGAGCAATGGTTAAATGTGCAATGTGTGTGTGTGTGTGTGTGTGTGTGTGTGTGTGTGTGTGTGTGTGTGTGCGTGCGTGCGTGCGTGTGTGTGTGTGTGCGTGTGTGTGTGTGTGTGCGCGAGTGAGCGAGCGAGCGAGTGAGTGAGTGTGTGTGTGTGTGTGTGTGTATGTGTGTGTGTCTCTTACCTAGTCGTGGGTCATACTGCCTCATCTGAACTTCTTCCACATAGTCTGCTGGGAACCAGCCTGTCCTCCCTTTGACCGTGCCTTCCCAGAAACCTCCTTCCCCTATACTCAGCACTGACAGAGAGAGAGGGAGAGAGAGAGAGAGAGAGAGAGAGAGAGAGAGAGAGAGAGAGAGAGAGAGAGAGGAGGGAAATTAGCGGTCAGGGTCTGAATCAGTTAAATACTGTCATAAAACAAGCCCAGTTGTCATCATTGTGAGGTTGTGGAGCCTGAAGAGCCTTGGAAAAGAGACAAAAAAGGATGGCCATATAGCTGAGTGGGGTATTTAGGTTTTTATGGTCTGGGTTCATAAGAGGGAGAGGGAAGGAGGGACAAGAGAGAGGGAGAGAGGGAACGATTTCACAAATGCATACACATAAAGCACACTGGTACTAGACAGGAGGAACTGTAATGTAAAATGATTGGTCTGTAACGAACTTGGACGGCACAAGTTTTATTCTCTTTCATGCCATTAAAGATTTTTGGATTTTAGAGAGAGAGACAGAAAGAGATTTAAAAGTAAAGGGACACAGTGTAGGTAAAATATAGGTGGAGATCAAGAAAGAAAGGGAAAGGAAGAGGAAGGAGAGATGGTGAAAGAGAGCAAGAGGGCGGGAAGGACAAAGAGAGATTCCTTCTAAGTTCCGCTGTGGTAATTAGAGATGAATGTATAGTTGATATTGATCTTCCCTGCAGGACTGAGCTAGCACGCTCATTTCTACAACACTCATTCATTATCCTAGCAAGCTAACACACACACACACACACACACACACACAAACACACACACACACACACGCACACACACTCCTCAGAGATCACCAGCTGGAACTGAAGCTTTGCCTGAGCGAGCCCTTCTTCTAAACTGGTTGCTAGGATACGGCAGTATGATGTTGCAGCCAGCAGACAGCCTGCTAAATGATGTAGTCTACTTCCTCCAAACTATATTCTACTCTGGCATGCGGACATGTCAGGGTGATGTTACCTGGGGCACTATGAGAAGCAGCTTACTGGACTTCATCTCAAGTGACATGATAGTAAAAGTTCAAATATCAGCCATTCACAGGATTCCTTGCTGTATCTAGTGACAAATACGATGTTTTCCCAGGGACTTGCTGCTGCACTGTGCAAACATTCTATTTCCCCTATCCATATCCTATTCAGAGACACAGATGTACAAGGACTGTGCAGATCATCTCAGTGAGGCAGTTCTGAACATTTTTAACTTGAGCCTTAGTCTATAGAAAGTTCAGGTCCTGTGGAAAACTTCCTGTGTGGTTCTAATACCAAAAACCTCTCACCTAATGAAGACCATGGAGAGGATCATACTCAACCATCTTTGACCACTGGGCTCCTTTGCAATTTGCTTACCTACAGGGCATTGGGATGGTTGATGCAGTAATCTACCTACTGCACAGATCCCTCTCACACCTGGAGAACATTGGGAGCACTGCGAGGGTCATGTTCCTAGTCTTTTCCAGTGCTATTCCAATGCCAACACAATACAGCCATCACAACTCAGGGGAAAGCTAGTAGGAGCCGGAGTAGATTGCTACTAGGCTGCATGGACCATCAACTCCCTCTCCTATAAACCATGGTACGTGAAGTTTCATGACTGTGTGTCGGTGGTTTGTCGCACAGGGGCTCCACAGGGTACGATGATTGCTCCTTTTCTTTTCATCCTATACACTTCCGACTTCAGACACAACATAAGCAACTGTCACCTCTAGAAGTTCTCCAATGACACAGCCATTGCTGGACGTGTACCTGAAGGGAACAAAAAGGAATACCAGGAAATGACTTTGTCAACTGGTGTGAGTGAAACCACCTTCACATAAAGAGAAAGAGAGATATGGTGATTGACTTCTGCAGGAGGATGCCCCAGATTACACCAGTGAACATCCAGTGATTGTATACTGAGCATACAAATTCCTGGGTGTTCACCTCAACAATAAACTGGACTGCTCGAACACAGATGTCCTGTAGAGGAAGGGCCAAAGCTGTTTCAAATTCCCCGGTGTGGGATCTATAAAGTCTTTCTTATCTTATCTTATCTTATCTTATCTTACAGGCCAGAGAAAGAAGAGTGTGTCTCAGTACACTGTGTGATCAGCCATGTTCAAATCAACCCTGTTTCTACTACTCGTTTTCATGAATAGGAATTCATAAAAAGGTTCCTCTCAGTTGTACACCAAGTAAATAAGCTATCCCTACATGTTGTACCCCAAACAGCTACTGAACCAAAACATTTACTGCCATTGGCTAAAAATAAAAAGTAAAGTAGGTAAGTACATGCTCATTATTTTCTAAATCTTGATATTCACTGGAGATGCAAAACCAACTAACCCCTCCAAAGCTCACCTCTGCCGGGCTAAACATACACTAGCTTAGAAAAGTGGGGTATAAGGTGGGAGAATGGCTGTTTATTGACTTCCCGCTGTAAAAAACATGACACTCAGCACACAGAGGATACATGGACTGATCCCCCTCTCTGATCTCAGCTTAACACAACTTTACCCTGCCTGTCTCCTGAGAGCAGGATCCCTCCATCTCTTTTTTCCATGTTTAAACCCTTTATTCTCTCTCTGTCTTCCTCTCTCTGCCATACTCCCCTTTGCTGTGTTTCTGAATGATTTCCCGGTCATCGTCTTCATCCCCCTCTTTGTCACTGTCAGTGTGTCCGTCTATACTGTAATGGTGTCCCTGCAGTAGACAAGTGCCGGCTGTGCCCCATTGACAGGAATGAAAGAAAAGGTGAGGCCTCTGATTGATCTTCTTGGGTGCCCTCGCTCACTTCCCTCACTCCCTTATCCCCCCACTACTAATCCATTTCTGATCCTTGACACCAACACCTGGCAATATGGACAGAATCGACCACTTTGTAAGAATTCAAGTAAAATACTATTCTACTAGTACACTTTCATACTGTAGGCTGTTCTTCGACATATACACATTTAATATACATACAAACATCCTCTTCAATTAACTTTAATCACCTCCCAGGCACCCTAAATGCTATAATCAGCCAATTAATTGCCTGTCACTGAAGTCAGGAAAAGGTCAGTGTTCACACGCATGCACACACAGTATCAGAGGTCTTTTAATATATAATATTCTTAATAATCCTCACAATACCCTCAGCATTTGAAAGCTGAGAGTCTGCATAAAGACAGGGAAAAAATAAACTATGTAAAGAAAATCTTTCTGCTGCTATGACACTTGTAATAAATATTTAATCAAAACAGCCAAGGTTATTATTTTTTAAATTACAGGGTTAAGTGATACCATGTATTTACAGTAAATCTGTTTCCAAATACCACAGTCCTCACAGTTAATGGCTTTATTTTGTATCTGGCACAAACAGATACAATAGCCACATGGATGCGTAGTATATGTCCACACATAAAAAAAAGCATACATGTACAGTATGTACATGTCCTCACGTGGACTTTGAGAGATCCCTGTTGTGTGCGTAACCTCTACCTTAAACTGCCACTCCGTTTTGGTGCTTGCCAACACTGTGTTGGCATGACAACTGTCCCTGTGAAGCAGATGTGGGCTCACAGGAGCCAAGTGGCAGGAAGGAACTCAAGCATATCTCTGCAGGAGGATTTACAATATGTGTGCTGTATTGATGTTTTCATCCAACTAGACCGCTTTGGGACCACTGCCATCAGGGATGTACTGGGACCAAAATTCAGCAGACGACTAAGAGATGGGGAGGCACTTTATGAGAGCAGAACATTTTTTCATAGTAATTTTAACATCAATACCATGTTTGCGGTATAAAGACAATCTCATTATGCTGAAGACTTGTCTTACTGACCTCAGTTTATATAAGTATGTCACCACTGCACTGAATCAAAACAAGACCATACCAGGCAACCCTACGTGAGATAGAAAACTAAGTATACTGCCAACTACTGCTAACTTCTGTGCAACAGTGTGTACAGTCACAGTTAATAGAGTGCTAAAATAGTTGCAAATGTTAAGATTGCAGAGAGTAGGTCCAATAAACCACAGAGACGTCTGACAAACTTTTCTGATGGTGTTAAAGTCCCCACTGTCAGGTACTACAATGTTCTGTGGTTCAAGACAAAAATTTGGGTAGCACTCCTCAGTCTCTTAATACCAAATCACACAAGCTGTCATGGCAGTTGAGACCATTGTGGACACTGGAAGTCATTTAATGGCCTTACACAATTTTGATGAGTGTGTTCTACAACCAAAGAAATAAGCAAGAAGTAGAATTTTGATGCACAAGGGCAGGCAAGGGCAGTAAAAATTAGGTTTGCAAGTACCCGATTCTCATACTGAATGGTCATGTTCTCTTTATCTTCATTTTAGAGTTTGGGGAAATAGGAGAGCAGCTCAGGAGCTGGATACCTGGGTCAAAATAAAGACTGCAATTGTTTCTTTGATGGACATACTACTGTAATACTAATTATAATGAACGAAAACCTTCATGCATACGCTAGAGACTTTTGTCTTTTCTCTATAGAGGTCTGTTGGGGCTCAAGTAAACAGCAGTTCACTACATAAGGCAATCAACACCTCAGTTGGACATCAGCTTTTCCCTCCACTGCATAATAACAGGTCAGACCTATCTTGACTGTGTCACTGCAAGCAGTGAGCTGCTATGTTGATTCATAATCACCTCCACAGGTAAAATAGTGGGTGCAAAGACACAGCATATGTTGACATGCATTCATGTACACACAGTAACACATGAACACACACACACCATCATGTACGTGGTTAGACACTGTACTGTGTTCTGTACAACTCTTCACAGCAGTAGCATGTTGCGCTTCCTCTAGAGCAGCATAAATTTGTCTGGGAATGATTCTGCAAGATGTTGGATGTGTTGAGCAGGAATAATTTGCATTGTGGAGATGACTGCATATGGCAGTTGCTGCAATTTCAATAGCTGCATAGTCATGTTGAAACCTGCCCTGTCATCCCAAAGCTGCTCAATATGGTTGAGGTCCAGAAAACTGTGCAAGCCACTGAAGCTATAAAAAAGTCACAGTCATGTTCCTCAGAATCTTTGATGATGATATGTGCCTTGTTAC